TTTAAAAAGAAATGGAAAATTTCTTTTGCCTGTGCAGTTTCAAAATAGTATCTTTATTAGTAATTACAGGTCAACTCTGTAATCACTAAAAACATATGCTGCAAAATGGGACAGGATCTGAAATAATTAAGAACTGAGCAATTTTGCCATGAATACGCACATGCTATTTTTCAGTACTTATAAGTCTGGTCAATTCTATGTGGATATCCAATAAAACAGCAAAAATTACACCTATGCTTAGCATTGATCTCTTATCAGTTCTGTAGACTCTCTACCAAACCCCTCAATAGCTTTGCACAAGTCCAGGTAGATGATGTCAGCTCCTCTTCCCTTGTCCACTGATGCTGCAACCACATCACAAAAAGCCACCAAATTTGTCAGGCTGGATTTGACCTTGGTGAAACCGTGTTGCTTGCCTCCAACCACCTCCACATTTTCTATGTGTCTTAGCAGAGATTTCAGACGGATCTGCTCCATGATCTTGCTGGGCATAGAGGTGAAACTGACTTGCCTGTGGTTCCCTGGGTCTTCTTTCCTTCCCTTTCTGAAAAGGGGGTTATGTTTCCCCTTTTCCAGTTAGTGGGAGCTTCACCAGACTGCCATGACTTTTTAAATATGATAGAAAGTGGCTTTGCAACTTCATCCACTTGGTTCCTCAGGAGCCACAGATTTATCTTGTCAGGTCCCATGAACTTGTGCACTTTCAGGTTCTTTAGGTAGCCTCAGACCTGCTTTTCTCCTACAGTGGGCAGATCTTCCTTTTCCCAGTTTCTGCCTTTGTCTTCTGTGAAATATTGAATCCCTCCTGCTAGGTATATTATTTTTTTTATCAAATGTGGTTGACTCTGGTTTAAAAACTGTTAGCAGGTCAAGGTGAAGGTGGGACAACAGATAAAACATAATTCTTTACAACTTTTTTAGGATGACATGCTAAATGTTAAATATTTTGTCATGTAACATAAAAGGACACATAACTGACTTGTTCAGGCACCTTAAAAACACTAAATACCAGACCACCCTAGGATTAAAAATAACTGCAAAAAAAGGAAACCACTTGTTTTAAAGGCTAAATTTTGTCATAACAAAGTGCTCCCCAGTGAGAGGACAGCCTTCCTTGAACTGCTGGCCACACTGTTCCTAATGCACCCCAAGATGTTATGAGCCTTCTGGGCCACGCTGGCTCATGATGAACTTGTCCACTAGGACTCACAGGTGCTTCTCTGCAAAGCTGCTTTCCAGCAGGTCAGCCCCTAACCTGTCCTGGTACCTGGGGCTGTTATTCCTGCCCAAGATGCAGAGCCCTTGTTGAACTTCATGAGGTTCCTCTCCGCCCAACACTCCAGCCTGTCCAGGCCTTCTGGTGCGTCAGCCACCCCTCCCGGTTTGGTACCATCAGAAAACTTGCCGAGTGACCAGGTGACTCACGAAAACGTCGAACAGGACGCAGGGCTGACCCCGGGAGATCACCGGTAGCTACAGGCCTCCCCAAACAGCCGCAGGGCCCCCGCCCCGCCACCGACCCGCCGCGACCGTTAGGCCCGGCCCGGCGGGTGCGCC